CTGTCAATGTCTGGCGGTTTTCATGTTCTGTCCGAAAGGAGCTTCAATTCTGTTCTTTGTTCCTAAGCCTCGGGGCAGTTGGGACAGCAGGCAAGAGCTCGTTATTCAGACTTTAAGAGAAAAGTTCTCCACAATTCACAGGCAGAGTGGGCGGGCAGCTCATAGCTCACACAAACCTCAGGATCATGGTGCTCCATTTCTAAATCACCAACCCTGGCCAGAAGGAAGGAGTCAACCACATAGTGTACTCGGGCACCACTGCCAACAGTCAGCATACACGGGCACAATTCTCGGATAACTCTAGTTTTTAAACGTAAACCTAGAGAACGGACCTTAGGAGCACCCAGTCTCCAGAGCTGCCTAAGTAAACTGTGGTCTTTTACAGTTATGGAGGAGCTTACAGACACTCCTGCCCACCACTGACCCGTTGGTAAACGAGAAATGTTTCACCAGGATCCAGAGGGACAACGAGGCCTGCATGCGTGTGACAAGTGCATGAGGCGCGGCAGGAATAAACGAGCCCACTCACTCTGCCTGGTGGTACCAGAGAGAAAGCTGCCCTCACCCATCGAAGTCTTGAGTGCTGACGCCCCAGGTCTTGCCTCCTTTTTCCCCCTCAGGGAGACAGACAGGAACTCTTTCTCACAGAACGAGTGTCTAATCTCACTTCTCACCACGAGTAGGTTTTGAGGGAAACTCGAGTGGGGCATGGGTCCCAGCGCACTGCCATCCCCTAATGTCATGGCTTGAGGCCAAAGGCAGGCATGCATGGAGCAGATGGCGTCCTGGCAAGGCCCCTGCTGTCCTTGCATTAGCAGCGTCTGCTCATTACTCAGAACCTTCGCTTGCTTTATCTAATGCTCCAGGAAAAGCATTTTGATTTGATTCATTTCAGGATGGTAACGTACAGGACAATTAGTGGTAAAATCAAACTGGAGGGGGCTGACAATTGGAAACAAGGCCCAAGAAATATGAGGCCAGTGGGGTGGAATTCGGCTCACAACTGTGGATCACCCGCCAAATCCCAGCTCCCCGGTGCATGCGCAGGTTCCTTAGGGCACAGCTCACAACTGTGGGTCACCCTGCCAAACCCCAGCTCCCAGTGCAGGTGCAGGTCTCTCAGGCGCAGCTCAGGAAAGGTGCTGAAGGGTGGTCTCCCCAGTTCCCTGCGGGGAGGCTCCTGCTATGGACATGGAGAGCATGGCAGCTTCAACAAGGGGTCTGGGTCTCACTTAGGCACAACGAGAGGGCTGGGGTTCATTAACTCCCCGAACTGCACACAGCAAACCCCACAAGGCCCTTTTCTAGTGTTTTTGACCAAGAAGCATCAACCACTGCTCTTGAAACGGGACAAGGGGTATGTGCACTTGATGTTTACATCTGTGAGCCCTAAATCAGCTCTGTCAATCTGCCACCCAAGTGAGGCTGAGGCCATGGCCACCTGGGATGGAGGAAAGGGCCAGAAGCTGCCATCCACCACGGAAATCTCGACCATCTGACGTGACTGGTAAATGAGGGGAAGCTTCTGCGGGAGGAAGGCTCTGCTTCTCTTCACACGGAAGTGAACAAAGCCAAAGCTCTGAGGCCAATCCTGGACCCTGAAAGGACTGCAGTTGACCTCACAGTGAAGTGACTGCCTGCCAACATGACCTGAGACCCTAAAGCACAAGATGTAGCCAGACAGATCAACAGTGTCCCTGAACAGACCAAGCACAAATTGTTCCTACTCAAAAGCCCAGACCTGTGGGATGTGGCAGCCTGTCTTATGGTGCCAATGACTACCAATACTCAGGTCCCTACTTCCTACTGTGGCTAGGATTTAAACATGATATAACTACAAAGGAAAGAGAAGGACTACAAGCAGCAGGTGTGCGTAAGAAAAGGTTCAACTCTTCCCACCGGGAGAACTACAACCACAGTCATGTACCATTCCCTACCACATCCATCAATACCCCAAACTGAGAAGAGGCATAGCTCACATCCGCCAGGAGAGCAGAAGACAGCATGGCATCTGTGCTCACCTCCTACCTGGAGACCCTTCTTACATGTGAAAGGACATCTGTACAAAGCTTTTCACTACAATGCTGCTTGTGAGAGCAAATGCACACATACCTGCTTTGCAATGAGCTACGGGCATATACAAAAAGGAAAGCTACCTAGGTGTGAAAAATGAGGCTTTCGGGTATGGTACTACGGCAAAAAGCCAAGGAGGGGAGCTGGAGAGATTGCTCAGTGGTCAGAGGACTAGCTGCTTTTCCACAGACCCTGCACAAACATGGCAGCTCACAACTGTACGTAACTCCAGTGCTAGGGGATTCAATGTCCTCTTCTTGTTTTCACAGGCCCTACGTGCACGTGGTACACAGGTATATACATGTAGGAAAAACACCCATACACATAAAAGTTAGACAACAGCAAAAGACCAGCAACTGACAGAACACATCTAGGGACAATTCAGTAGTTATTTACGCAAACCCCAAGTACTGACGCCTCAGTCTAGCAACGGCCAGTGCTGCAGACTGGATTTTACAGATGCGTAAATTCAAGGTCACTGAGTTCAAAAAGAACAAGGGGTTCTGATGTCCAGCGATAAGGGCTCCACACATGTGGCATGGTACAGCATGGCACCACGGCACAACACTGAGAAGAGGAAGGAATAACACAGGTTGCCAACGTGCAGCATTAGTTTAAAAACAAGAAGACCCACTGAAGTGCACAAAGCTGGCTTAGGAAGATGAGAAGGCCTAGAAGAACACCTGGAGTGGTTCCTTTCACCTTTTTAATAGCTTTGTTGTTTGTCCTTTAACTATGAATTTGAGACAGGTCCTCAACATGTAGCCCCAGATGGCCTGGGGCTAAGTAGACCAGGCTGGTCTCAAACTTGGAATTCACTTGCCTCAGCCTCCCAAATACTGGTGGTAAAGATGTCCACTAATCCTGGATGAAGTAAGGTTCTTAAGCAAAATATTTGACGTATGTTTTGAAATTCCATGTTCAAGGGGCTGGAGACATGGCTCAGTGGTTAAGAGCATTGCCTGCTCTTCCAAAGGTTCTGAGTTCAATTCCCAGCAACCACATGGTGGCTCACAACTATCTGAAATGAGGCCTGGTGCCCTCTTCTGGACTGCAGAAAGAATACTGTATACATAATAAATAAACAAATAAATAAAAATAAATAAAAAAATCAAATTTCTTCTAAAAAAAAAGAAAGAAATTCCATGTTCAAGTATTTACATGAAGAAAGTTGTCTATCATGCCTAGGGTGTTCCCTATTTATATGCAATGACAGTGACTGGGCCATAGACACTCTTGTCAGCAGCAAGGAGAGCTCAGCGGAGGAGCACTGCTTAGCATGCACCAGGCTCCCTGTGTCTACACGCACACTCATCTGTGTACGGTCGCTGTGCGTCTGTATGTCTGCCTGCATACCTAATTTGCACCACACTTTATTTTTCCTTCAAGCTCTATTTTCTAGCTCATCAGCTACGATGAGCTCGGTATTCACAGGAGTCTCTGTGTTTGCTGTCAGTAACACCACTCCAGCCTACAGTGGAGCTGGGAGACGACAGCAGCCGGACTTTCAACTTCACCCTCTAGTCTTCAGTTTCCCCAATGGTAGAAGAGTCTGCCATTCAAGAATGGCAAGTGCTGTTAGAGCTTTCCAAAGCCGCGAGTCCAGCTGGAGGCTAAGCAGCAAGCATGCTCAGTCTGCAGCTACACTGCCCACCTGGGATCAGCTCACCTGTGCTACACTGCCCACCTGGGATCAGCTCACCTGTGCTACACTGCCCACCTGGGATCAGCTCAGGCCGAGGCTATACTGCCCACCTGGGATCATCAACCACACATGGAAAAGCCATGTTAAGGCCACGGAAGCAGCATTCTGGTGCTACTGCTGCTGCTGCTACCATTCTGGGGAAGCTAGAGTTGAAACTAGGGCCTCATATATGGCAGGCAAGCACGATGCTGAGCTACACCCCAGTCTTAACTTTGCAAATGTCCATTTGTAGTGTCTAATAACATTAAACCAGAAGAATAAAGTACAAAGTTTTGCTCAATTTTTTAAATCCTTATATTTGCTCTTTTTAGCTCTGAATTTTTATCACTGAATATTAGACATTTATAAAACTCCCTAATGGCTACTGTAGCTCCACCCCTCTGTGCCAAATGACATCACACTGCCTGAAGATCTGCATGGCCATGGTATGAACACTGAGTCCCAGAAATGTGCTAAGATACAACTTCCAGGCCAGGGACCGGGGTGTAGCGGGGGAGGTATGTGGCTCTTGGAGCAGCAGACTTCAACACAATGGACATTACGACTGTGAGCAGTAGGCAGGCAGGCTGCCACGGCCAGAGCCGTGATCACTTCTATCAGCTAACAATGTCACATGTCCCATCATTTCCATAACAGTTCTATAAACCCACAGTTGCTCACACACACTCAGGATTCTCTCCAGGCTGGAGACAACACATCAAGGACCGCGCTTGGTGGGTGAGCGCCAGGTGAAGGCAGGCACTGATCGCCAGTTTTCTGCCCATCCATGTCAGATCACCCCTCTATCCTTATCTCTAGTCTTTTCAGCCTGAGCCGAGGATACAGGAAAAGGAGGCCAAGTATATTTAATATTTTAAACTAAACACACCATTTGCTTAAGATGGTCTGGCCAGCCTCATCATGTCTGGCACTGACATCCAGCTCCAGGGTTCCAGGATGAATTAAACACCAGTTTTAATGGGTACCATGTTCCAATGTCTACTAATAGACCAGGGTTATGGCTAGCTTCTTCATATAGAAGCAGAAGGCAGTGCATGAATGTACATGTGCTTGTGTTCCCAGAAGAGGCGGATGTGTGTAAATGTGTATATACCTATGCACAGGAGGCAGGGAGCACGTGAACGTGTATGCATGGAGGACATGGGAGCAGCTGCAGCTGCTGCAGTTGATGAGGCTTTCTCCTGCACAGGGAGGCGGAGGGCTGGGGTACTGGGGTACTCACCATCCTCATAAGCCGCAACTGCCAGCGAGCTGTTGATCCTCACAAAGGAGACATATGGCTGCATTCCAGGCTCCTCCTCTTCTGACTCAGATTCTAGGAAGGGGGCCACATAGTCCCAGGTGCGGGTGTCCCACACCCTCACGTCCCCTGACGTGTATCTGGAAGAGAAGAATATTCTTGGTTCCAGGGAAAATCTGGAGGGCACAGACAGCAGCACGTGGGCGGGCTGGGAGGCTCCGTTCCTGTAGCCGTCTGGATGGATGACTAGTGGGGAAGGAGTCAACTGACCACAGAAGGCTGTAGACACAGCACAACGGTGACAACTACCTTCAATCCCAGTACTGGGAGGCAGAGGCAGGCAGATCTCTGTGAGTTCAAAGTCAGCCTGTTCTACAGAGTGAGCTCCAGGATGACCAGAGCTACACCAGGAGACCCTGTCTCAAGAAGGAAGGGAGGGAGGAAGGGAGGAAGGAGCACTGAGGTGGTGCCCCCCCTCTCACCCTCATCCACAGGCTGTCACCTCCACTCCTTCCATGCTGGGAATCGAGGGAGAAGCATGGACACACGCTGGTGTCCCACCAACCGTGCCTGCAGACTGGAGCAGCAGGGACTGAAGACTAACAGCCCGCAGCTAAGCGCTCACACCTCCTCCAGGAGCAGAGGACTCCTGCGCAGGCACTGCTGCCTTCCTGTGAAAGGCGCCTGTCCTGCCCACTGAGAAAGCAGGGCACTAACTCTAGCCTGTGACTTTGGTCACTTCCTAGACGACCTACTCGGTCATGAAGTCCCAGGGTGATGGGGCAGCCAAATGATGCTATGCACTGCCTGTTACTGAGGGGTCCGCATTCCTCCTGCTGAATCCCTCCGTTGGGGAGGGCGGGGACTGAGGAGAAGCACCTGTGGGGGCCTCACAAGGAGCACAGGGATGCTAAGGAACAGTCTTCCCGAGGCCCCAATCACACAACATTGTAGAGTCAAAAAGCCTAGGACACAAGCACGTCTGAGGTGACTACAGAAGGCCAGTCTCAGGCCAGAGGCCCATGGTTATGTATTTACTGTGTGCATGTATGCTGGAGGAGGGGAACATGTGTGCCACAGCACATCTGAAAGTCAGAGGGAAACTTTGCCGAGCAGACTCTTGTTCTACCATCATGTGGTTCCAAAACTGGACGCGCAATGCCAGGCTTTTAGGACAGTGATTCACCCACAGAGCCATCTCAGCCCCAGGGTGAGATTTCTTAACACATTCACTGCGTGCTCTGATTCAGGACTCCTCAAGCACACACTGCAGCGCTCCCCAGCTATTAGTCTACATGTGCACACGAGCTCACTCTGCAGGACGGGGTGCAGGCAGAAATCTGCCAAGAGGAGCACATGGTAGGGGGCTCCCAACGCTGACTGCTGCTGCTCCGACAATCACTAACCTTCTACTGTCCATAACAGTGGCAGAACATGACCAAAGCTGTACACTGATGTGCCCTGAACAACACAGCCACAAACTCCAGGCTCTTCAGGAAGTGGTCTGGATGACCACTGTTGGTGAGGAACCCTACACAGAACTGCACCCAGCTCAGTACCCTCAGTCTGACTTGGGTTGTTCACTAGAATACAGCCAGTTTCAGCTACAGTCAGGAAGGCAAACATGGGAGCCTAGACTGTGAGTCCACTCTTGAGGCTCAACTCAACAAAAGGAACAACTCAGAAAAGCAAGAGGAAGAGAAAGGTGCATGAGAAGGAAATAAGCATGGGATGCTCCTGCTCCCGGCAGCCCTGGCTGGGCTTTCAGCACATCCATGATCTTCACACTGTGTTCCTCCAGGAGCTTGTGCAGGTCCCTCTGCCCTCACTCAGCACTGCTGTCCATGGCTGAAAATGCTTGTCTGCAGCAAACTTCATGCTGATGCTCCCTTGGGGTACAGCGGGAGGAGCAGGGAATAGAGAGAAGGCTGAGGGATCAGGGCTCCAGCTCACCGCCCTCTCCAGATAATTCTGACAAACAGCAATGAATACCACAAGGGAAACATGCTTCACTCTGAGCTACACAGCAGTGAGCGAGCGGTGTAAGACGTTACTGCTGTGTCCTCGCTGGGGACAAGCAGAGGGCATAGCGAAGTCACTGCGCTCACTCCACCTGCACAGCAAGACAAATGTGCTCCTCTGGAGGCTCTGGCTTCTCCACACACGGCTTCCCTCTCAGAGCTATCTCCACTCCCTCCAACACATACACACCAGGGCCTCCCACTCATTCCAGGGGCCATCCTAGACTCCTTGCCAGCCCCGCCTGCAGTCAGCCTGCCTTGCTGTCTCAGCAGCTGTGTGCTATCACCAGCTGGCCTCACCTCCTCACCTGGCCTGCATCTCTACCTCACACAAGCTAATGCTACCGAAAAGTGGTGTCTGGAAAGGGCAGGTCACCAGCAGTGCGCTCACAGGTGGCAGCAGCTGTCCTTGCTCCCAGCCAGCAGCCCCCAGTACTAACAGGAGGCTAGAACACCCAGAACACAGGCGGCTCTTCTCAGACTTTTGCTCTCCTTCCAAGCACACTAAACTGTAGCTCTAGGAGACAGCAGGCAAGCCCGGTTATTTGCATAAACAGGGAACTTTCCAAACAGCCACTTGAATTAACTCTGTTCTTCGAAGTCAAAGAAGCGTGCAAATCACAAGCATTTGCCCCTTTCACCGAGGAAGCAGATTTCCCATTTGAACAGGCGCTGTAGGACCCATGCACAGGCTCTGACAGTAAGGGAGAAAACAACACAGGTGCTGCTGCTGAAGCAGGCTGCAGGCATGCATTTTCACCAATGGATAACTAGGGCAGAGGGACCTGCAGGAACTCCTAAGTGTGGTCTAAAGCGTGCTTAACTCACAATGGCCAGGGCAAGGGAAGACAAGGGTATGGAAGTGGAAAAGGCTCCAGATGCTCCACTGCTGCCTAATGACAATTACACTCAGCCAATTAAGACACCACTATGACAGTCGCACTGTCAGGAAGCCTCTGAACCTTGGCGTTGATGGCTGTAATTAGTGTGCACAGTACAACTAAAACATTAGCTGATGGACGACATAGAAGAATGGAGGCAACCTCGTCACAGCAAGTGGGGATTCACCCGAGGTGCACATGGGCCAGGGACATGAAGAACCACTTGTTTTCCCAGTCATGCTATGCCTGGCAAGGTGGTGCTTACCTCTAAATGGGGGTGGTCAGAGACGGTAGCTGACCCCCATGGCAGGCGCCTCAGTACACCAGGGCAATTGCCAATTTAAAATGATTACCATTGAAGAGCTTCTGCTAATGGATGCTTCTGCCAGCAGAAGATTTATTCAGAGCAAAAGGCCACAAGAAAGGGGGATAGAGGAACTGGTCTTACCTTGCACGACCATTCATATCCCTCCCGTGCGACACTCTGCAGGGGAGGCTACATGTGCTCCCTGGTGCCAGCTCTTAGTCACTAGACATAAATGTGTTCTCAGCTCTTCCAAGCAACATGGACAAGTGTAGGAGGGTTTGCCGGAAGAGCAATGAGGCAGAGTTAAGTGATCGCTCCCTCAGCCTGCTGCTTAGCCCATCAGGCACTCCACACCCCAAAACAACAGCCTTCAACAGATACCACTCACAAGAACCAACCCCAGTTAAATGAAACACAAGGAATTTGTGGTTTGCATACTGTGCTCAGCTGGGCAGGACACAGCCTCCCCTCTCCCTGCCCCACCAAACACTCTCCATCAGTCTCACCACCCTATCTCATGGGAAGTCAGACACCAGCAACAGTGGGAACTGGAACACCTTCCATACCCAGTGTCATACCCTTGGCGAGCACATAACAAAGATCATCGAAATTTCTTCCGCCTTCACAGGACCCTGTTTCTGCCACTCTCAAATGAAGTCCCAACTCTATTCTGATCAGGCCTCAGCCCTGTGCCAAGGACTCTGCTGCTGTGCTCCCTCCCTCCAGCTAGGAAGACACACAAATGCTATAGTGGATTACTAATGACCAGTGCAGCCCAGGAGTACAGAGGGACACCCTCTCCCCACAATCGAGCACTCCTAAGTGCTGACAATCCTCTGGACCAGCTGGAGTGGGCTTCCCAGGAGGAACCTGGCCTGCTCCTGGGCCTGTCTGGAGTACTCTCCTTGGTGTCAGGTCCCTTTCTCCCCACTCCACTCCCCAGCATCTCCCACGCTGTCCACCAGCAGTTGGAGCCGTTGTTGGCCTGAGAACTGCTTCTGTGCACAGAGTGCTGGAAGCAGCTGACAGCGACCTGAATGCGGGATCTGCTGCCTTCAACCTGGATGGTTGAAGTGGCTGAAAGCCGGTGAGGTGCAGCACCCACACACAGAGGCTATTTAGAGACTTCTTCACTTGCTCCGTGCCTTCTGGAGTGATCAATAAAAGCTAGAGTATTTACTGTTTTGTACAGAACATGACTGCTGTACTGCACAATTAACAAAATGAACTCAGTCCCACAGTGCAGCCACTCTGTGGAAATGCAGGAGAGCAAACATCGAGGGGGGCGTAAGACGTAGCAATTGAAAACTAATGAACATCTTAATGGCCCTTGTGTGGTCTACACACTGCACACTTAGAACTGCTTTCCATACATCTTGGTTAATGACAATCAATAGAGTCAGAGTCGATGATGATTATGCAGAGTTATTGGAGCTGTGGCCCTTCCCATAATTCCCTGGAGAAGCAGAGATGGATAAATGCAGCCATGAGTTCATCAGTATTTATTAAGGACGTTCTGGAGCGCCTTCATTAAAGATGTAATGAATGCAAAGCTCTCCTCTGGTCGGGTATCAGCAGCTTACCTCAGACTTATTTACTAGAAGAAGCACACATGCCTCACAGCAGAAAATAAATAAATTTCAAAGTATTTTTAAAAAGCGGTCCCTGGTGGGTCATGACGGAGCCCCTTATGGGAAGCAGCCCAGAGCCATAAGCGGCCGCACAAAATCCATACGAGGCGAGGCTGAAAGGAAAACTGGCAGGAAAAGGAGGCTGGAAAGCACGTCCTGGTCAAGTGTGAGGACGGCGACAGAACGTAAGAGAACATCAGCCCAGGTCCTCACTCACAGACCCTGCCATCCGGGTCCGCACTCACAGACCCTGACGTCCAGGGTCCGCACTCACAGACCCTGCCGTCCAGGGTCCGCACT